CCAACCAAATCGCTCCCCTCTAGTAATTGTCCACAAAATCTTGGAAAAAGTGCGATATTTTCTAATCCCCACTGATATAAATTCCCAACCAAATCACTCCCCTCTAGTAATTGAAGCGCAAACAGTGGAAGGACTTCCTTTTTTTTCGAATCACCACCGGAGTAAATTTATATGCATAGCCTTCCCCTTTAAATTCTGGGGCGATGCTTCCTCTCTTTTAATTTTCCAGGCTTATACATGTTCCCCAATTGCTTCAAACCTAGCCCAGTAGCTTGCCGCCGAGCCAAACGCGCCACGCTTTCACGCTTTACCTATTAGCGATATCAACTAAGCAAGATGCTTGGTTGCTTATGGTTCGTATGTTCTTACGTAGATGATTTCTCTGCGACGTTGTGCGTGTTTCACTATGATGCAACTAGTCGCCTCACGGTTATCGTTCCAGTGCTGCGGTTTTGGTCTTCCGATGCCTTCCCCGACTACCTCCATCGATTTTCTTTCCTTATGGTGAACGCAAGTATTTCACGTGACAAAATAGAAGCGCGCCCATTCCGAACGCCCGCAGCTTTCTCGCCTATGCTAGCACTGGAATCGGTTGACGTAGCTACGCAGCCTTTTGCCTTGCAGGAGCGCCCAGCGGAAACGCCTCGCCTTTTTTTTTTCATGAGTTCCGTGCCCAATTTTTAAGGTTCCTGACTGCGAGCCCACGACGCCGGTACATTTTTTCGCCACTGCGCCACCGTCGAACATTTCCGCGCACGGCCAGGCGGGCACCTTCGAGCTGGCCCACGGTGCGGGCTGCGACCGCCTACGCTTTACGCCTTACGTTGCTGCTCGCAATTGGCTACACCAGCACGGCACTGCGAACAAAGTCCACCAAGATAGGACGCCTGGCGCAGGAAACAGGCACAGCATTCACGTCGCGCACACGTGCACGGCGTTGAGGCAGTCGCTGCCGATCAATGGCTCGGGAGATTGCGCCCAGCGAGTTACTTCGAGCGTGTGGCCACGGATGTCGCTAAGGCTTCGGAAAATCATCAACGGCCACAACGGGAAAACTAACGGGATGACCTACGTGGAGCGTACGCGGAAGCCGCGAGCAGATCAACAAAGCACGAGGGCGAGCGCGAGGCACCCGCGACAAGTATAAGAATGAAGCCCCTCGCGTCTTGCCTGTTGCATCCTCTTGCCGCGAGAACTGACGGCCGACCCTTGCGGCCGTCGCGTCAGCCTGCGCCAGCTGCTGCGCCTTTCCGCCTTGCTGAGGCTTCACCTTTTTGGACGAGTTGCACGCCCAAGCGCACCGCCGTCGATTCATTTGCGCCCTACTGGTCAGCCTGTGCAAGCTGCTGCGCCTTCCTTCTTGCTGAGGGTCCGACTTGATGGAAGAAGGACACACGCCCAAGCGTAAGCGAGTCGCAAACCTCTCGGGCTTAGTCCACCCGATTAGGTAAGCTCGGAAAGATGGACAATCGGAGAGCTGGAGGGGTCTCAAACGTGGGGCAAGCTTCACGAGCTTCGCCCACTTTCTCGAAAAGCTCAGGAATAGGGACAGCCCAAGGAGGTCAGGGATAGGAATAGGGGCAGCCCAAGGAGGTCAGGGATGAGCATCGAGCGCCGTCAGTGCAAGCGTGCACGAGTCGCAAACCTCTCGGGCTTAGTCCACCCGATTAGGTAAGCTCGGAAAGATGGACAGTCGGGGGGCTGGGGAGGTCTCAGATGTGTGGCACGCTTCACGAGCTTCGCCCACTTTCTCGAAAAGCTCAAGAATAGGGACAGCCCAAGGAGGTCAGGGATGAGCATCGCGCGCCGTCAGTGCTGACGGAGCTTCGCGGGAGTCAGGGAGCAAGCTTGTCGGGCTTAGTCCACCCGATCGAAAAAGCTCGGAAAGATGGACCGCCAAAGGGACAACAAGGCCCAGCCTTTGTGCGCGCTTCTATCTTATTCTACTCCCCGCATTCTCTAATAACATGCTCCGAGCCGTTGGGTCACTGCCGTGGGATCTTGTCCGATTCAGCCATATCTTATGGCTATTTATTTTTTAAAAAGTCATCGCCTTAGGCCTATTACACAAGACTTATGCGCGTCTTCCGCGCTAAGCAAACGGCGCCGCTCAGATTTGAGACTGAAACGGTTTGCCAGGAACGTTTCTCCGCAACCTATTGGCGCAAGCGCTACTGGGCAAGTCGCTCAAGTTACGAAGAGCGACTGCAAGTATTAGAAGATGCACTAGCTGACGCCTCTAAGCGATTGGCATTGCAGAGCGGGGCTGAATTTGACCGTGATTTTCTTCATGGTGAATTGACAATCCTGACCGAGGCGCATCAGAATGCTCGTCGCGAGTATGCTGATGAGCTCGATCGCCTGAAGATCGACCTGCAGGAGAAGGAAGAGGCGACGAAACCAGACAAAACAGAAAATAATAAGAAGCACATCTTGCAGGCCAACCTCGAAAAGATGAAACGTGAACTAGAACAAAAGAACAATGAAGAACATACCCAACTCCAAGAAGCATATCATCAAAAAGAGCGCCAGCTTCTCTCTCAGACCTACACTCTCAGAACAAAACTACTACTACTGACAATCCTCAACATCTGCCAGTTCGCTATCCTCGTTTATTTTTATGGTATTGAGTATAGTACTTACATATCATTATATCTCACATTCACTTTTGATAGTGCAGTCTTGGAATAGTTTCTCCTAAGCATTTACTCCATTTCCATTCTAGGTTCTTCCACGTCTGCCATGTCGAAAGGTGCTGGATCTTCTACTGACGGCATGAAGAAAACGAATACTAGTACGAAGATGCAGGATGCAAAAACTGGTGAAATCACATTTGACGGATCGACAAAGCAGAGCCCTGGTGGAGGTTCAAGCTCTAAAGCCAATCTCGACGGGAACACAGGTTCTAAACTCTCTACTACGATCGCGAGTGGTGCAAGTGATGACAAAAAAGGTAACACTGGAGGTACCAAAAAAAAGGGAGCCGGCAATGCCAAAAAATCAACGGTGAAAGCATCCAATACGAGCAAGGCGTCCGAAATTATCAATCTTATCTCGGACGACGACGACGACAGCAAAATGCCTGATGCATGTACTATCTCCATGCTACCTTAGACGACTTTTTATTTGTCATCAATTCTTATCACGTGATCTTTCTCTAAATTTAGTTCATCTTAATTATATCTTGAGTGAGGCATCACAATTTCCGCTTACCATGACCATTCAGATTCCTCTGCTAAACGCAAAAATCCTTCACAACTCGTCACGTCTGGCAAAAAGAGCAAGAGCGAAAAATTTGACGCTGACTCCAACATGGACGCGGCAGCAAGTGCATCGACGACGGATAGTAAATTCGTCGGCAAAAATAATACGAGCGAGTATTCAAACGCTGCTTCTGCAATGGATGCTGAAATTGTTGATCCGTCACGTGAGCCAACATCTTTAATTGGCGACGACGAAATGGCAGGTACATACTCTTAGTCTCATTAGCTTATTATTTTCTTATTCTGCGAGTGTTGCTTCTCCAGAAATTTACTTTTTTTCTCGCACATTCGTTATGGTCTTATTTTGTCTCATCACCACTTCACAGCTCTCGAGGGATTTTTCCAGGATGATGACGACTTTGTGGAATACTGAGCAATTCGATGGCGCAACTTCGTGTGGGCCATCATGTCGTGGTCGAATAGGAGGCTTTGAGATTTATGCTGCTCTTTGATCGTTTTCTTTATTGCTGAAGCTATTTGCACTACAATAATTACCCATTCTCCAAGCTCGCTTAGCTACTGACATAGAATACCACGCTTCATGACAACGACTAGCTCTCTCACTCCACTAGCAGCTTCTGGTAATATTTGGCGATCTTCTATTAGTTGGTGACAACCTTCTTCTATTAGACCATTATTGATATACATGTTAGCTATGGTAGATTTAGGTGGTGTAAACCTTCTAAAATTCGTTCGTCCATAATAAGCATCTCATGATATTCATGCGTGTCGTTATCGTTTTTTGTTTTTAAATGGAAAAATATTTCGAAAGGAGCTATTGAAACGTAGGTGGTGTTAACCCCTTACTCCACGGCACTATTGGTTTTTTCGAACTTATGGTATATTTAGGTGGTGTAAACCTTCTAAAATTCGTTCGTCCTTGATAAGCATCT